AATGTAGGATGGTAGGAGTCTTCAGGTATACTGAGCGGAAGGGCTCGGGTTAACAACGCTATGGTCGGATCCGAGACAAAGCACAGTTCAAGCAATCGACCCAAGGAATTTTTCACATGGTTGACTTGAGACAGGGATAGGTCTAGCAAGCCGTCGATAAAGTCGTGTCGTGACATGGGCACAAGGTTATTAGACTCGTTTACCGAAGACCAAACAGCACCTGGCAAATTAAAATCACCAAGAACTATCATATGGTCTTTATCTGATAGCGAGGAAGAAACAGTTTTTAAAGCGGACAGTTGATGCTCGTATATTAAGATATCCGAGGAAGGTGGAATATACGAGCAAGTAATGAAAATGGAAAAGCCTGGGAGAATCAGTTTTACGCACAGGAATTCCAGGTCTTGTTGAACCTGGACCATGAAATGTTCCGACGTGAAGATTGAGTCCACTGCAATAAGGACCCCACCTTCACGTCGAGACGAACGGTCATTTCTAAAAATTGTGTACTGACCTGCCAAAACTTCGGAACTAAGGATGTCCGGCTTTAACCAGGTCTCGGTTAACACAATAACGTGGGATGAGAATGCGAAACTCTCAAGGAAAAGAGTGCTGAGCTTACTACGCAAGCCTCTAGCATTCTGGTGGGTAACTACAAGAGAGGAAGTTAGTTTTTTGGATGGGTGGAAGTAGAGGTGGAAGATGAGGATGGAGATGGAGCACTGGTCTTAATGCTAGGAAGAGTAATGGGGGGCCTATTCTTTTTCTTAGCCTTAAACTCTTTAACCACCAAATGCTCTGGCCAAAACTTGGCGGAACAAATGGTTTCAAATTGAGTTGGGGAGACGCTTATCTTGAAGGAAGATATCTCCCTGGCGTAACAAAAGTTAAATTTTTCCACCTTTAAGCCGACGGCTTTTATTTTGCTTTGTATAAAAGCGGTCACATCATTGGATGTGAGGTCAGGGGCTAGCCGCGAGACAAAAACTTGTCGCTTTGGTGGGACTCCCACCAGTGGTTTTGGCACCACAGGCCTAGTACCTGTGATGGCAGTATCCGGTGGTCCTGGACATCTGTTAGCTGGTGGGAGCAAAACTGAGGGGATAGTTAAGGGGTTGGGTGCAGACTAGATGGACACGGACTCTACAGACATTTCTAACTGCATACTCTCCGAAGTGACGCATTCGGCTCCCGAATCTGCATCACCAGCAGCGATCGTTGCCCTTGGAGTAGCAAACGTAATCAACTGCTGCACTAAGGGAGTGGTCGGAGTAAGTTTTTCAGATGCCGGCGGACATGAGGCAGTCGGCACTTGCAAGTCCCGCGGAGTAGACTTCTTGCGCCTCGGAGACTCAGCCAGCAGCTTTAAACTGCTGAACTGAGTGTTCATGGCCAAGAGCCGATCATACTGCTGTTTAAAGCCTACGATCAGCTCTTTGAAGCCACTCCGCGTCTGCCTCATGAACGAACGCATGTCGTTTTCCACAGCACGGCATTCCTCACAACTATAATGTAGGCCGTTGTTTTGGGAAATGGCGTCTCCTACACGGCCCGAGATCCCTACACATTTTGCGTGCACTACGCTTTCGCAAAGCCAGCAGGGGATATTGGGCTGGTCATGGGTGATCTGCTTCTTGCAGGTTTTTTTGGCACAGACGACAGAAAATTCCATATTTGTCTTTTATTTTTTTTTTACTTCGGGAAAAAAAAGTTCAAAACAAATAGCAATCAGACCACTGTGCAGAGCAAATGCTTAGAGCAATGCTTAAAGCGAAATCGGAAAAAAAAGAGAGAGAGTAGAGTGGTTGCAGCAACAGCTTATAAGTGAGAGCGTTACTGCACAAAAAGTTACAAGAGCGAGAGCGAAAGAACAGTTATTGAGAGTTAGGTGATAGAGAGAGTGATAGACGGCAATAACTACGACAAAGAGCGGCTAAATGTAATGAGAGGGCGTACTTACGAAAAGCAACAACCCAAACACACGACTAACCGACGCACAAAATTGATTAAATAAGTTATGTTTTTACACAATTATCAGGCATGCACCCGCGGTAAAAGTATGATTTTAATGTAAGTTAGTTAGAGAGTTAAATTATGGATAAACAAGAAGGAACGTGTGAGTCGCTTCTGGGGACGCGACTCTACTTATACCCGTACTCAGTCAGTATATACATTTTTGAGATTATAATTTTTTTGAATTTTAGAAAAAAAAAAAATTTACATTTTTTTGCTACATCTGTTATCTACATCTACATATGTATACTATGTATATTCTACATCTAACATGTATATTGTACATGTACCATTTAGATTCTACATCTCCTCCGCTAGGGGTTGCTCGCGCACTGAGCGCGGCAGAGTGTGCGAGCGAGAAGGAAAATGAGTTGCGTTGTCGTCGTCAGGAGGGGGCAGGGGAAACAACTTAAAATTAATTTCTTCATTCTGGCTATAATTACGATCCGATCTGATTCTGATTCGACAGTCTGGTAGATATGGTCATTCTCGACGATACTGTGTTTTTAGTTTTATCGTATCTTTAAAAATGTGCCTGCCACAGATTTTCGTCTTTTGTGTGGGCGGAAGGGGGCGGGGCGAAATTTTGAAATACACTTGTAGCAGTGTGATATCACATGAGTCTGGAAACCAAATTTGGTCACCCTAACTCTTATAGTCTCTGAGATCCAGGCGCTCAACAAGACGGACAGACGGACAGACGGACAGACGGACGGACGGACGGACGGACAGACAGACATGGCTATATCGACTCGGCTATTGATGCTGATCAAGAATATATATAATTTATGGGGTCGGAAACGTTTCCTTCTCTGCGTTACACACATCCACTTTTACCACAAATCTAATATACCCCTTAACTCTTTTTTGAGTACGGGTATAAAAAAAATTTTACATTTTACATTTTTTTGCTACATTTGTTATCTACATCTCATCTACAATGTCTATTCTACATCTAACATGTAGTTTGTACAAGTACCATTTAGATTCTACATCTCCTCCGCTAGGGGTTGCTCGCGCACTGAACGCGGCAGAGTGTGCGAGCGAGAAGGAAAATGAGTTGCGATGTCGTCGTCGGGAGGGGGAGGGGAAGCAACTGAAAATTAATTTCTTCATTCTGGCTATAATTATGATCCGATCTGATTCAGATTCGGCAATCTGGTAGATATGGGCATTCTCTACGATACTGCGTTTTTAGTTTTATCGTATCTTTAAAACTGTGCCTGCCACAGATTTTCGTCCTTTGTGTGGGCGGAAGGGGGCGGGGCGAATTTTTGAAATACACTTGTAGCAGTGTGATATCACATGAGTCTGGAAACCAAATTTGGTTTCTCTAGCTCTTATAGCCTCTGAGATCCAGGCGCTCATCAAGACGGACGGACGGACAGACGGACAGTCGGACAGACGGACAGACGGACGGACAGACGGACATGGCTATATAGACTCGGCTATTGATGCTGATCAAGAATATATATACTTTATGGGGTCGGAAACGTTTCCTTCTCTGCGTTGCACACATCCACTTTTACCACAAATCTAATATACCCCTTAACTCTTTTTTGAGTACGGGTATAAAAACACCGGCTGTTTAAGTTAAACAAAAGGAAAATGCGGAGCGCAAAACAAAAACACGTCTGGTCACTACGAAAGAGAACGAACGAGGCATATTTCCTGACATATGACTTGACTTTGGATTATAAAACAACAATATTCAGTACCTGTTCAATAAGTTTGTATCTCTCAAAACTAAACAAAACAATTCAAGACAAAAACCATGGTGCAGCAGCTATATAAATTATATATTATATATATATATTATATATTGGTGTACCTGAATCGACAAGCAAGATGTTCCTGAATTCAACCCCACTCTGTGATAATAGTTTTAGCATTGTGTGTGTCAATCAATGTGATGATCAAGGTGAAGTTTAATGCTGAAGGCTAAGATAACATTAGTCCAATATTCTTAAAAATATTACTTGCAAAGAATTTGTCCCACGTCACTTATATTTTAAACAATGCCATTAATACATCCTCGTTTCCGACTGTATGGAATCAGGTAGAAATTTTACCCATCCCAAAACATAATAATAATAAAAATGACCAGACCCATTTCAATACTTCCATTTCTCTCAAACTTTCTTGAAAATATTATGTCTTCACAGATTGAAATCTTTTTGACTCGGGGTTTCGAAAAAAACGAAGTTGTATAAGTACTATAACGGATATTGTAGAAGATATACAACAGCAACTTGACAAGAACTGAGTTACGTTCTTAACTCTTATTGACCATAGTAAGGCATTTGACTCCGTAAACCATAACATATTCTGCACAAAATTGACGAACTTATTTAATTTCTCAGACACTGCAGTCAACTTTGTTAAGTCTTATCTTACAAAGCGTGGACGGAAGGCATCATTAGCCAAACCAGCAGCTATGCGAACCAAGACGAACGATGATCAAGATTTTTGCACCATCTGTCTGCCAAGAAAATTTACCGCCGCAAATTCCGTCGAATGAAATATATGTAATCGTCCGGTGCATATGAAGTGCGGTAATATGCGTGCAAGTAACTTAACTTGCAAGCATTGCGACTCTAGTTTCGATGATTGATGTTAAAAAGTGTCATCCTTCTTGTAGAAAATTCGAAACTATTTTTGTTTGTTTGTTTGATGCCTTTACTTAGGCTTGAGACGCGGGAATTAGCAGTACAGACCAGAGCTGTGGGCGGCGATAAAGGGCGATCAAAAAATAAAGCGTGCGAAACGAAGTTCAATTTACGAGTGCTTTATTCCCACGCATCGCTTGTCGGCTATGCTGCGGTCGTGTAGTTACATGTTGCTTGGATTTACAGTGGCGGGACTTCATGCCGTAACCTTACGAACTACATTACATTTCATACATAACTTCATTGCTTTCTACTTATTGACTATTATTCTATGGTGTAACGACATTCCGGCCGCCTTGAACGACCGCACGTCGGGCTTCAACGTATCGGCAAAAGTGCCAGCTTATGGATTGGGCGTCTAATCACGCCCCCTCCTGTTCGCACCTCTGCCACCCTGACCTTGCCGTCTGCTCCCACGACGACGCTGGTGACCCTGCCGGTGATCCACTGCTGCGGCGGCGTATGGTCGTTGTGGACCACCACCATGGCGCCGACCTCAATGTTGGCCTCTGGGGTTTGCCATTTGCTGCGTCCCTGCAGGTTGTGGACGTAGTCCTTCGACCAAGCCTGCCAGAACCGTCGTTTGAGCTCGGAGAGTAGTTGCCACCTCTTGGTAAAGGTGGTACCGCTGCTCCGTCCGTCTGGCTCGCACCCTTGCGGCAGCGAACGAAGGGGCTAACCGATCAAAAAGTGGCCTGGCGTAAGCACCTCTCCTTCGTTTGGATCCGTACTGGCTGGAGTGAGCGGCCTGGAGTTCATGATGGCCTCGGCCTCGCCAACACGGTCCTCACCTCGCTCTCGGTGAGCGCGGCGTCCGCGACCTGCCGCACGATCAGGAGCTTTGCCGACTTAACGGCCGCCTCCCATAAACCGCCGAAGTGCGGTGCTCGCGGGGGGATGAACTTCCACTCCATCCCTTGCTCCTCCGCGAACGTCCTCAGGCTGGACTGCTGCTCCTCGAACGCTTCCTGAAGCCTCTGCAGCTCGTTCCGGGCTCCGACGAAATTTGTCCCGTTGTCGGAATACATCCTCAGCGGAACGCCACGTCTTGCGATGAAGCTTTTTAGAGATAAAAGAAAACAATTAGTCGACAGGTCTGGGACAAGCTCTAAATGGACGGCCTTCGAAGCGAAACACACAAATACCGCGATGTACATTTTGAGCGGCTGACGACCTCGAATCCGAAGCGAGACGTTGTTGGGACCACAAAAGTCTACCCCGCAAATCAGGAACGGACGACCTTCCCTAAACATGTCTGCTGGAAGATTCCCCATAATCTGACCCATCAATTTAGGCTTGTATCGAAAACAGTGGATGCATCTCCTCACTATGCGAGTGCATTCTCGGCGTGCATTTACTAGCCAAATCTCTTGTCTCAGCAAACTTTAATGTCTTTGCATTGGCGTGACAATTTTTAAAATGCAGGTTCCTTAAATAGAGTTCGACGAATTGACTCTTGGCGGGAAGTAGAACCGGAAACTTAGCCTCTATTGGCACTGGAGCATGCAACAGCCTTCCTCCGACCCTGATAAGTGTAAACGATCGCCCCTCCTCTGATCTTTTTTGGATAAAAGGGGCCATCATCTGCAGGCTCGGTTGCAGCGTATGCCCTTTTTTCAGCTTCTTAAACTCTTCAGAGAAGACGCTTCGCTGAACCAGCTCCATAAATTTTAGAGACGATTGCTGCAACTCCTTTGCAGTTAGCTCCCTGTAACGTTCCTTGTTCTTGCCGATATTAGCAAATCGGTATACATACGCAAAAACTCGAACTAATTTGGGGTACGACGAAAAACGAGAAAATATTTCATTTGAAAACGAGTTCGCAACGCCAATTAGAACCTGGGCGGATCGTTTCGCCTCGGAGTTCTTCACATCATCTGGGATGTTAAAATGCGGGTTCTCTGGCCAACAATGCTCAGGCTCACATAAAAATTTCGGACCTTCTAGCCATATGGACTCCAGGAGCTCAGGCACTTCGCATCCGCGAGACGCCAAGTCCGCTGGATTCGACAGCGATGGGACATGACGCCACGTAATGCCCTGACATAGCTCCTGAATCATGGCTACTCTATTTGAGACAAATACTGCAAGTGACGACGGTTGGGTTTTAATCCAATGTAGCGTTATTTCTGAATCCGTCCAGAAAAATACGCTCTCGATTCGACACTTTTCCAAAACTTGCTTTACGTAGTCCCAAAATTGCGCCAATAACGCTGCGGCGCACAATTCGAGCCTCGGGATGGTCTTTGTTTTTAGGGGAGCTACTCTTGCTTTCCCAGCGATCAATCGAACGTACGTTTGACCTTTGAAAAGCGCTCGCACATAAATGCAGCACCCATACGCTTGACTAGACGCGTCCGCGAAGCCATGCACTTGAATCGACGAGCACCCACTAGCCATAACGTACCGAGGCACGGCTATTTTGTCAAGACCACACAAGTTTAGCTTTAGCCTCTCCCAGCTTGTATGCAGTAACATTGGATTGGCTTCATCCCAATCCAGCTGAAGCTGCCACAGCTTCTGGAGGAATATTTTCGCTGTTATGCTGATTGGACTAAGTAGCCCAAGCGGATCAAACAGTCGAGCACTAATTGACAGAATGGTGCGCTTAGTCGGATTCAAGTTTGTGAAGCTATCTTCCAAGTGATACCGGAACGTATCTGTTCTTGGACTCCACCTCATCCCCAATGTTTTGGTCGAATCGGCATCATTGAATGATAGGGATTTCTCCTCATTGTTTCCATCCATTAGTTCTGGATGGTTCGAAAACCATTTCGAAAGCTGAAACCCTCCGGAGCCAAGAATCTCAGACACCTGATCGCAAATCGACTTCAGCGTGTCTACGTCATCGGCTCCTGTCAGCATGTCGTCTACATAAAAATCACTGCAGATCACCTCAGAACCCTTCTTGTGGGTGTCTCTGTTGCGTACACCGAGCTCGTGCAAACAACGAATGGCAAGGAAAGGTGCTGCGGAAGTACCATAGGTAACTGTGTTCAACCGAAAAATTTGCAATTGATCGGTGGGATGTTCTCGCCACACGATGAGTTGGAAATTTCGGTCTTCTACGGCCACATCCACTTGCCTATACATTTTCGAAACGTCTGCCGTTAAAGCATACCGATTCACCCGAAATCGAACGAGTGATAAAAATAATTCCCTCTGAATAGTAGGTCCCACCATAAGTAAATCGTTTAATGACCACCCAGTTGTGGTCTTGCTCGACGCGTCAAAAACGACACGAAGCTTGGTGGAACTGCTATCAGGCCTCAGGACGCACTGGTGTGGTATAAAATAATGTGGTCCTGGCGGAATCGCGTTGTCTGTCGGAGACATATGGCCGAGCTCGATATATTCTTTCATGAAACTGAGATACATGTCTCTCAGCTCACTCTCTCTTAACGTTCGTCGCTCTAACGATAAGAAACGACGTTTTGCGACCTCGAAGGACGACCCCAACGATACTGGGTCTGTCTTAAAAGGCAACGGTATTTGAAACCTTCCGGTCGGTAAATTGCAGACATTGGCTTTGAAAAACTCTTCGCATGCCAGCTGCTCTGCCGAATTTGTTTGAGCATGTTTTTCTTCTGGCGTTGCATCTATCTCCCACAGTCTTTCGACCATTTGAGACAGAGAGTCTTCTTCCGGTGAGTAGGTCCAGTCAGAAGCTTGCTACACCGACCTGAAGCTACACAACCTAAAAGGGTCTTTTGCAACAATGGTGCCCCTTCACCCAGTTTTATTTGGCCTGTGCACAACAGATCGAAGAACGAGTCTGCTCCAATCAGCATATCTACCCTTTGAGGTCGATGGAATGCTGGATCTGCCAGCTCCACATTCGCAGGAATTTTCCACTGCTTAATGGGCAGACTTCTGTCAGGCTGCTGATTGGTAATGCTGCTAAGAACTCAGAAATCTGCTACGAAACTATGGTTATTTAACCTGGAGTATATTGTCGTCGAGACTTCACTCCTCGACACCGAGCTTGACTTGCCTACAGATGTCACTGTCAGGCAACGGTTGACCCTTGCCAACCTTAGCAATTGCGCTAGACTTTCTGTCATGAAATTGACCTGTGAACCCGAATCCAACAACACTCTTGCTAAGTGAACTTGGCCAAATCTGTCCCGAACTCTTACCACTGCTGTGGCAAGGATGACATGCTCGGGCTCACTGGATGCCTGCTTCACCTGCGCAGGATGGGACGATGCTTGTACTCCTATTGCCTGACTTTCTGAATCTGCGCTCTGAGCTGCGTATCTATGCAAGAGGGTGTGATGCATCTGTGAACAAACTCTGCACTTAGAGGATGTGCACTGAGATACCCTATGTCCAGATTGGAGGCAATTAATGCATAATTGCTTGCCTTTTGCGAACTCGAAACGCTCCAAGACGGGTATTGCCCCAAATCCCTGGCAGTTTCCGATCGAATGGTTGGCGCCGCAATATACACACTTGGGGTCGATCGACTTTTCGGCCCTCGCGCAAGAAAATGACGATCTGCTGGTTTTCTTGCTGGTCGACGGCATGTCAAACTTTGGTTTGCCTCTCGCTTTGGATGACTCCTCTGCTGAAAGGTGTTGGTACCGGCGGTTCAACATTTTTGCACAATCCGACCAGCAAGGGAGCTCATCGTAGTTCAGCTGCTCCTCATACTTTGTTTTTGTGTATGTGTCCACCTTGGATAACACCAGATGTATTATCATGGCGTTAGCAACCTCTCGCTCGTCTCCTAACGATAAAAGCGACTCCAGAATGGCTGACACTGTATCTATAGTTGATCGCAATGCAGACGCTGACGGCTTGGTTACGGCAGGAATGTCAAACAACTGGGCAAGTGTCTCAAAGAATATTAAGCACTTGTTGTCGTACACCCTCTTCAAACTTTCTAACGCCTTTGGATAGTTGGCATCTGACATTTGGAACGCCTTAACGGTTCCCAAGGCTTCATCGGACAAGCACGATATGAGATGGTTGAACTTCTCTATATTGGACGACGGGTCGGAATCTACCAAACTTTCAAACAGACTAATAAACTGTTTGTAATCCGCATGCTTGCCGCTGAACTTCGGCAACTTCAATTTTGGCAAATTGGAGTGGTGGTGTGTGGGTGCTGAATTCATGTATGGTTGAGGGGATCTGTTGGTCGCTGCCGACATGTACAGAGCCTTTGTGATCACACACGTTTCTTCCAACGCCGCCCTATCTGAATTATCTGGGTCTAGTACATCGATCTCGGACTGCAGGGCCATTGCTTTTTCAATATAGGAGTTCAATATTTCCAAACGACATTGGATTTGTAATGGATCCAGCGAAATTGAACCCTCCTCAAATGCTATCCTCATTCGATTTATATTTTCGCTTATCTTCTCCAACCTCACATACAATTTTGTGAGCTTCGTGCTTCCACACATTCCGCTCCCAGTTGCCTTCTCTTCATCATGATCTTTAGACATATTGATTAAATTACCAACGTTGGCTGTTCCTAACTTCTAAACTTCAAACTTGCTAAGCGAAGGCGACGATAACCTGAGGAAATGCACTGCGTTCAATGAGAACAATGTTTGACAGTACGGCAAAAGTATTCAAGTACCCACGTATAAACGTATTAGGTTCGATGCGACAACGACTGCAACAGTTAGAACAGACAAAAACGCAACAAACGCAACCGAGCTCTGTCACGGCGAACTAAACTCGACCCACGTTCGATCCCCTACGAAACGGACGTCTGGAGTTCCAATGCGCGCAACGCTAAGCTAAGCGTACGCAACCAACACCAAGTTTGGCTCGACAAACTGAGCTCGAACCAAGTTCGAATCAATAAGCAAACGCAATTCTAATGCGCGCAACGCACTCGACTCCCAAATTAGAACAGCGTTCGACCCGAAAACTAAGTGGCGAACGATGTTTAATTGAGTGGCGCAATATAAGAGCGGATGATCAGCTCTGTGGCGCATACGACAAGCTGGGGACACCAGTTAGAGAGTTGGATAACCACGAAGCTGCGGGAGCAAAGTTTCGCGCTCATTATGGTTCTTAATATGCAATATTCATTTTATAAATATGTTTTTACCCACATACCTTCTGCGTTTCCTTTGTTTAAACAATTTTTCTTAGGTTATGGTTTTATTTTCAGACATGACCTTTTTAGCGGCATCTATTCTTAACAAAATAAGCTATTAATAAATAAAATTGTTCCATAAATGACAATAGTACGATTTTTAGTAGTAAATGTACCCCATTTTAGATATCACAAAGTAATGCTTGTTTACTTGGTATGTAATTTCAATTTAGCTAAATGTTAAATTCAAAAATGCCAAAAAAAAGCATTGCTTGGTGGGCCAGCAATGGTAAAATGTGATTTTCGGAGGGTTGGTCAACCAATTTTAGATCCGCAGTGTCTCACAGATTTTAATGAGCAATACCTTAAACGACGCCGAATCAATGCGCCTATACACATAACACCCAGGAAATACTTTTTTTTTAGTGTTTTACTGAGTTTTTGAAGTCAAAATTTCGTAATACCGCACAAATATAATTTTTGCATTTGAAAGCTTACAATTTCCCAGACAGTAAGCTGCAATCACAAAGTGTATGGGTCAAATTTTTAGATGCATCAATTAGCTTTTCAGAATGGCAAAGTTCATTAAAAACAAATTTAAGATACCGCTGAAAAAAAGCTTGAAAAACAAACTACCAGTTGTTTTAAATTCTAAAAAAAAAGTTCTGCCATAAAAAAAACGAGAAGGAACGTGTAAGTCGCTTCTGGGAACACGACTCTACTTATACCCGCACTCAGTCAGTATATTCATTTTGGAGCTTATGATTTTTTAGATATTTAGAATTTTAAAAAAAATTTACAATTTACATTTTTTTGCTACATCTACTATGTATATGTAGCGAGCGAGAAAGAGAATGAGTAGCGGATCAATACACAAGAGCCGTACTCTAAAATAGGATAAACAAGCGAGATATAGAGACTCTTTGTTATCTAGAGTCATCAAATTCCTTTGACCACCTCTTTATAAACCCATAAAACGACCATGGACTTATTATCATGGTAGTTGGGCTCTACTTTAAAACCAAGATCATCGATCTTCTCAACAGAACCAACACAGAGGGTGTACGGAGCCAACAACGGGCTGGCTTAACTCTTTTTGAGTACGGGTATAATAAGCAAAATAAATAAACTCATCATTAATAATAAACATAAAAATAAATGTAAAAAAAAAAACAATTAAAAAAATGTAAACAATTAAAAACAAAATGTTAATGTATAATTATTCGATTTAAGTACATAGCCCTTGTCAAAATGTCAATGTATAAGTATTACATTTAAGTAGATAACATCCAAAATGAACTATATATACTCACCGTGTGACTAGCGCAATAAAAATAAGTTTATACTTGTATCGGTAGGATAAAGCATGAAATAAATAAAAATAAAAAAATAAAATGATTGTAATTTTTTTAAATGTATAATAAAGATTTTTGAATACATACATTTTAATTTTGTTTGCATGCATGGTCCCATGCTGCCTAGCTACGCCACTGGCGAGATGGAGAGGATTTCGTGGCTTTAAAATATCTTGCTGCATCTAAAAATCTTAATGGAAAAGGAACTGTGCCAGAAGTACTTCTTGGAAGTAGCCAAGTCCGACTGGGATTTTCTTGTCTACCTAAATATACATACATACGTAAGTACATGCATGTATACATTTTTTTTGAACAGGAGCAGAAGCACAACCTCCCACAGCTAGACCGTCAACTTGCTGTAAACTTTAGAAAGTATTATTTGTTTGTATTACTGTTTAAGTTTTCTTCAGGATTTACTGACTCAAAGTATAAGGGACTAATCATTATTTGGTGACCTTTGATATTTAAGGTTTTTTATGGGACCCGTGCAGTACGAAGGCTGCCTTCTAAGTCCGTAGCCTAATAGTGACGGACCCACCAAAAAACATTGAAAATGGTTTTAATTATTTTTAAAAATATTCGCAAGGAAGCTGACAACCCATTTTGAAACGTTTTAACTTATTTGCGCGGTTTCTTTGGCCCTCAGAACGTGCAATCATACTTGTATCTTACGAGGAAAATGCTTCTTGACGGCAAATTGTTCATAGAATATTAAATGCATCTTGGTCCCTTTAATTCCTAAAGATTTCTCTATCTCATTGTATGTCATTTGACGATATTGCAGTAGCCAATTCTTCACAGGACCCATTTTCTCGAAACAGAAACCGATTTTGCATCAACGGACTTACACTACTAATTTCGTTTTATCAGTTTTGTGCAATGCATGGTGCTTCATCGCCAAAATTTGATCTGAATTGATCGAAGCGTTCTTGTCTTGACAAATCCACGTCGAAATCGCAGATAAATCCGACATGGAAATTTGCATGTGTTATTTTACCTTTAAACAACCTTTAAAATGAAAGTGGCGATCTTGACCTGGACATACTAAAAAGAGCCAAGGCTACAGACCTAAAAAGCATCCCAGCTTTCGCTCAATACTAAAAATGTATAACAAAACTTTTTTGATTAGCTGTATGTATGTATGCATATATGGCCTATTCAAGTTTGAAAGTCAAATACACAGTTATGCACATATTTACAAACATATTTATATATGAACATCTGCGCACAAATACACATACCTATGTTAATAAACTAACTACATAAATGCATATATGTACATTATTTTAACGTATCCATACGTGTACATACACGAGTTATGTGATAACGTACATATGTTTTCGTATAAATATATATATATAATGCAAGCATGTTTTTTTAGTAAGTACACAAATGTACATAAATACTTAAATAATTTATCGATATACATATATGTACATATTATTTAATGTTTTTTATACATATGCATATGTATACTATCGTTTGGAGCTTTTTTCTCAGAAAGCTCATCAAAAGCTCGCACAATTTATGTTATTTTTCGTGCATACATATGTTAATATGTATAAAAAAAATAAATCATTACACAATAAACATTTTCGGACTCGTCCACAGGTACTCAGATCCGAAAAATGTGTTCGCTAGCAAAAACACAACCTCCCACAGCTACAGTAGGCACACATATTATTCGGACACCCGTGTCACTCTAGTTTAAGCCCCTATAACTCGGCGTACGGTTAAGTTAAACAGAAAAAGTTTATTTTATATCAAAGATCAAAAAATCTACTATCCGTTCACAAAAAAATATTTACATTTTCTACTATGGTATCCTTATAAAAATTAACTAAAGCAAAGAAGTCAATTTTTTACGCGCATAAATTATTCGGACAGTCTTGAGGTTCTTCAAGTAATATTTGATTATTACAGCTAACAAATTTTTTGGTGACCTATGCATTAATATTTACCCACTAAACAAGCAGAGCCATTTTTAAGGATTCTTTCGATGAAATTTTGGGATTCCGTATGGTTGCAGTGGGAAATGAGCAAGATTTGATCAAATAAAGATGCATTTTTTCGGTATTTTTTTGGCTGGTACAAGATTGCCTTTGGAATATGCCCAAATTTAATGGCACATGGATGCAATTTGTCACTCAAACTATCATTGTACATATCCTTGTTAATTTTGCCATCAATGAAAACCATTCGTACAGCTCCAGCTGCACCTTTACACCCACAAACCACTATGCTTCCTCCTTACAGTTGGTACCCGATTTGTCTCATTGATGGCTTAATTTACTTTTCGCAAGACTTTTGGAGGAACACAAGGCCAAATTCATTTCTGGAGTATGTGATTGAATCCAAATAGGACATATTTTGGATTGATGGACCTTGAATACATGACACACACACATTTACGCAACCTGAACACGAAACTCAAAACAAACTCAAAACGGTTTCGGAAAATAAGAATTCATAAATATTTGGTCGTGTCTGTGTACACACACACAATTGCAATTCTCGGCTTGCTTTCGCATCTCGTCATGAATCGAACATGTCGAAAAAATGC